GCGCAGCTTGCCGTGGAGCCGCTCCGTGTGCAGCCGCAGGCGCTCCATCTCCTCCCGCTGGCGCAGCAGCATCTGCCGCTCGCGTCCCGCCGAGCGCGCCGCCTCGCGCAGGCGCCGCACCTCCGCGTGCTCGGCCTGCGCGCGCGCCCGCACGCTCCGCTCGCGCTTGCGCAGCGCCGCCGCCGCCGCCGTCCTCTCCTCCTCCGTGCGGCCCTCGCCGACGGGGCCCGGGCCGGCCCCGTCCGCAGCGCCACCGCCGGCTCCGGAGCCGGCCGCTTGCGTCAGCCGCCTGCGAACGACGATGATTACCGTGGTGCCGAGCGAGTGAGCGAGCGTGTGAGAGCGAGCGAGTGTGAGTGAGAGCGAGTGTGAGTGAGATTGTGAGTGAGTGTGAGCGAGCATGTGAGACGAGTGAGCGAGCATGCGAGAGTGAGCGAGCGTGTGAGAGCGAGCGCGAGTGAGCTGCGCACTCCCGCTGGTGCTGGATCCAGGCGAGCTCGGCGCGAGCGTTCTGCCTCAGCGCGTGGTCGCGTAGCCGCAGCAGCGCCAGCTGGTGCCGGGCACGGACCTCCTCCTCCTCCTCCGCCAGCAGCTGCCCCAGGGCAGCGAGCGACAGTCCGCCGCCGGACCTGTCGGCGCCCCTCTGCGATGACGACGACGACAACAACAACACAAACATCAACAACAAATGGCAGGAAAAGTCAACAAACAACGACAAGCAACGACAACGCCCACTCAACTAAAACAAAACAAACATCAACAACAAACCCAACCAACGTGAATAAAAACAGCGACAAGCAACGACAGCGCCCACACAACTAAAACAAATCAAACATTAACAACAAACCACAAACAACGCCAGCACCCACTCAACACAACAAAACAAACATCAACAACAAACCACAACCAACGTCAACACACAATGCCAGCACCCACTCAACGAAAACAAATCGAACATCAACAACAAACCACAAACAACATCAAGAAACGACGACAAGCAACGACAGGAGATTGCCCGAGCCAATGCCGTGAGGTCTTGGGCTGGGTGTTCGGTGGTTAGGCCACCAACTATTTAGTGACCCGGCCCCAAAATCTGTGTGTTGTGGAACCCTCCGCCGCCCGACACAGCCGGACGCGCGTTCGAGTGTCACGAGGGCAGCTAGAACGACAGCCCGAGGTGGCACGATGAGACTCCACCCGGGGGAGACTCGCTATGCGGGCGTCAAGGGTCGGGATCAATCCCACGACCTCCTGTACACCAGCCGAGGTAGTTAACATCTCCTAGCCATCGTGATCGTGATAAGAGAGAGAGACACGCAAACTCTAAATATACAGCAGCAGGCGTCAGGGTCGGGATCGAACCCATGACTTCCTGTACACCAGGCGAGGTAGTTAACATCTCCTAGCCACCGTGATGATGAGAGAGAGAGCGACACACAAACTCCAAATATACAGCAGCAGGCGTCAGGGTCGGGATCGAACCCACGTACCTCCTGTATACCAGGCGAGGTAGTTAACATCTCCTAGCCACCGTGATGATGATGAGAGAGATACACGCAAACTCCAAATATACAGCAGCAGGCGTCAGGGTCGGGATCGAACCCACGTACCTCCCGTTTACCAGGCGAGGTAGTCAACATCTCCTAGCCACCGTGACGCGCTCTGTTTAAATCGAGGCAGGGAGTCGCTCGTCATGAAAGTGGATTTCCCTAAGATCTGTGACGTCGTGGGAGTTAAAGAGTTTCAGGACCACGCCGGCTGGAACTCCTTTACAAGTGCATCATTGCAGCAGCATTGGTTCAGCACAAGGGAGGTACGGACCCCCCCGTCGACAGCGAGTGTCTCATCAGCAGACAGACGAGACACGGAGCAGGCACAGCAAGAACCGAGAGAAGGAATAAAACGGTAGAATCAAGGGAGACAGCAGTGAGACACAGACAGATACAAAGAGAGACACAGAGAGAGAGACAGACACATACACAGAGACACAGAGAAACAGAGACACAGAGACACTAGGACACAGAGAAACAGAGAGAGAGAGACACATACAAAGACAGACACAGAGCGAAAGACACACATATACAAAGACGGACACAGACAGACACAGACAGAGAGACAGACAGAGACAGACACACAGAGAGAAACAGACACATACACAGACAGAGAGAGACACACACAGACAAAGACAGACACAGACGGACACAGACAGAGAGACAGGCGCCGTCCACCTTGGAGGGCCCCGACCCCACGGGCTCCGTGCCCTCGTCGGACGTGGCGGTGGCGCCGTGCTCCCTCCCCGCCGCGCGGGACGTGCCCCTCGTGCCGTGCCGCCCCAGCTGTGCCACCTCCTCCACCTCCTCCTCCACCTCCTCTTCCACCTCCTCCTCCACCTCGTCGTCAGTCCACGACTCGCTGGGCAGGCCGGAGGCGGCGCTGCTCTCCGAACGCGCTGAGCGGGAAACGGCGACACGGGCGTCAGGGAGCGTCGGAGGGAGCGGTGGTCGCAAGGAGCGCTCCCCGTTCGACGCGTGGGACTTTCGCGGCCGACATTGTCCACGAGGTTATTTTTAAATCCTTTATATTAAGTTCACTTGCTTGCTTAGGACCGTGCAAATCTTTCGGTCGTTTTTTAACCCACTTCCCGTGATCCAATCGAGCTGACATTTTGCACACAGACTCGTTGTGCGTAACAATGCATTTTCGCGAAAAAATATTTATTTCCCATTAAATTCCCAAAATTTTACACTTTTTAGGGAAATTTTTTAAAATATTTAATTACCAATTGCTTAATGGTGCCAGACAATCATCTGACCCATAGGTGGCAGCCATCTCAAGTCAGAGGACGAGAGGACTCTAGCCGCCCCGATGCCACGCATATAAAGGATTTATAGTGAAAAACTTTGTTTTTACGGGTTTACTTGTTTCTTCCCTTTGTCCCGTCGCTCCGCTTCCAAACGTTCGGCAAAGGATCCTAAACCGGTGCTCTTCATGAACTTTCAGAGGAGGAGGGGAGGTGGGGGGGCGATTTTGCCGATAAACTATAGAACTAAAATGTAGATTTACATTAATGGAACTCCTTTGCCAGTACCAAAATATAATAATAGGGTTTTCCCCTTTTCTCTGGCAACAAAACTGAAACCTTTTTACAAGGATTCATGTCTGCATCAACCACAATACTTGCAGTCAAATGCAAACAAAACACACACTATGATAATATATATGCATTGTCCTTGAAACTGATTGGTCCACACCAGGGGATGGCTTTCTTTTGAGCCTCGACGCAATTGGTGCTCGACCAGAGGACGCCAAAAGGCGTCCACAGCTCAAAGAAAATGCCGCTATCAAAGTAACGAGGGCTCGGGGTGAGCATCTACATCATTAGACCTCCTTTGCCAGTACCACAATAAAATAATAGGGGTTTTCCCCTTTTTCTGGCAACAAAACTGAAACCTTTTTAGAGCACCAATTGGATCGAGGCTCAAAAGAAAGCCATCCCTTGGTGTGGACCAATCAGTTTCAAGGACAATGCCAATATATTATCATCGTGTTTTTTTGTTTGTATTTGACTGCAGGTATTGTGGTTAATGCAGTGACATGAATTCTCGTAAAAAGGTTTCAGTTTTGTTGCCAGAAAAAAAGGGGAAAAACTCTATTATTCTATTATTATAAAATATAGATTTCTTATTTTACCAGGTAAGGCGCCACTCAGCTATAATAACAGAAGCGACCTGGCCACCACAAACGAGAGCTCACAGAACCATCGCGTGGAAATGCACAAGCGGCCAAACTCTCTAAAAACGCGCGATGCCGATTCCAAATGCCAGGAATCGAGCTCAGGCCTCGTCTTGCCGGGAGGCGCGGGCGGTCGGCACCGGCGCCTCCCGGCGTCACCTTGCGCCGTGTTAACGCCACGCGGCGCGGCGTTAATGTCACGCGGTGTTCACGTCACGTCACGTGGTGTTCACGTCACGCGGCGGTCGCGCGCCCGGCTCCGTCGAGGAGGTCGCTACCTCTGGAAGACGCCGCCGGTGACTTCTCCGAGCTCTTGCCGTCGGGGAGATCCTCGGCCACGCTCGCGCTGCTCCGACCCCCCTCCTCCTCCTCCTCCTCGTTGGCCGCCGTCGTCGCGTCCTCCTCCACGGAGCTCTCCGATTGGTCGGCGCGCCGGGATCGCGATCGCTCGGAGGCGGGGGAGCGGCCGCGGGGGGCGGCCGTGTCGGCGGAGCTCGAGGCATCGTCGGCCCTGGGAACGGACGCGGCGTCAAACGCCTTGCTCCCGCGATCGAGCGACGGACGCGACTTTCCGATTGGCCGTTGTGGCCGCTAAGGCCGCCCCGTGCGTCGTCTCGCAACGGCCTCGCCCGGCTTGACGTGGGGCAGGGGTGGGGAAGCTTTTGTCTGCCAAGGGCCATTTGGATATTGATAACATCTAGATTTTAAGCTTTCGTGACCGCAAGGATTCATATTCTTGGGGTTTTTCGGTAAAGTCACGTGGGTAAAAAATTAAAATTAATAAAAGTTAAATAAAAAATAAAATTTTATTTTTATTTAACTTTTATTAATTTTAATTTTTTACCTACGTGACGTTACCAAAAAAACCCAAGAATATTAATAACATCATTCGCGGGCCATACAAAATGATCAACTTTAAAATTAGCCCGTTATATTTGCTCAAACATTTCATTAACTCGCCCCTAATGTGATGGCTGGAACTGACAAATTATTTCACCCCCTGACGTAAAGAAACCCCAAAGCAGTCACCGATGAAGCTGAATGGAACCCTCAAACGGATACGACTGATCATGGGACCTTCCTTGCCAGCGTCAAAATATAGTAATAGGTTTGATACCTCTTCTTGGTTCTTTCGGTAATAATAAAATAATTCTCAAAACGTTTCGGCCACAACGCAAGCAGCGACAGAGTCTGAATGGATGAATGGATGAATCCATTCAGACTCTGTCGTCTCGACAGACCTGTTCTTCACCTGAGGACGGCTGCTTGCGTTGTGGCCGAAACGTCGTGAGAATGATTTAATGATGTTTTATTTTTACTATTTTATTATTTCCATTCTACGTGACTTTACCGAAAGAACCAAGAAGAAGAATCCCTGCAGTCACGAAAGCTTTAAATCGAAGGTTTGATACCCTTTCTGGCAATAAAACAGGAGGTGTAAACATGTCAAAACACCAACACAGAAACCTGTTGCAAGAATTCATTTCTGCGTTGACCACATAAACTCGTGGCGAACAAATGTGGTGAAAGCTTCGTGCAAAACGGGGGGCTTCGTGACACGGGTCAGAGCCCACCCCCCTGCCCCCCCCCCACCTCCTGCCCCCCCCCCCCCCCGCTAACCCCCCCCCCCGCTCACCCCCCCCCCGCTAACCCCCCCCCCCGCTCACCCCCCACGCTGCTGCCCCCTCCTGGGGCCGTCCGGGGAGCCGCGTGTCGCTGTTGGCGGCGCGGCCCTCGGGGGAAAGGACCTCGCCAACTCCGCCACCTGCTGCACTCACCGCACAAAGACAAAGACGCCCCGTGTAGCCTTAACAGACTGTTGGAGCAAGTGCTGTTAGCGAGCACCTACACACAAAAGACAAAGATGCCCCCGTGTAGCCTCAACAGGCTGTTGGGGCAAGTGCTGTTAGCGAGCACCTACACACAAAGACAAAGATGCCCCCGTGTAGCCTTAACAGGTTGTTGGGGCAAGTGCTGTTAGCGAGCACCTACACACAAAGACAAAGATGCCCCCGTGTAGCCTCAACAGGTTGTTGAGGCAAGTGCTGTTAGCGAGCATCTACACACAAAGAAAAAGATGCCCCCGTGTAGCCTTAACAGGCTGTTGGGGCAAGTGCTGTTAGTGAGCATCTACACACAAAGACAAAGATGCCCCGTGTAGCCTTAACAGGCTGTTGGGGCAAGTGCTGATAGCGGGCACCGACACGCACGGTGCCACCACTGGCGCGATTGTCGGTGCGACTATCGGCACCGCTAGCGCCACCGTCACCGTCACCGCCACCGCCACCGTCACCGTCACCGTCACCGTCATCGCCACCGTCACCGCCGGCGTACCAGCACGTGCTGGGCCCGTGTCTCCTCTAGCTGCCTCTGCGCCTCCATCGCCTCGCGCTCGGCCCGCAGCCTCAGGAGCGCCAGCTCCTGCTCGTGCTGCTGCTGCCGTACCTGGGAAGGGGGGCATGGGGGGTACGGGGGGGGGGGGTACGGGGGGGGGGTACGGGGTGGGGGGGCATGGGGGGAACCGGCCAATAGTGCGGTCGGTGCAGCGTTAACTCCGGACTTAAAACGCCAAACGGTCAGCAACAAACAGCACCATCAAAGTCGTAAATGGGTGACCGTTATTAGTACAAGGGCTTGGGGAAAAGAGACGATGACGATGGGGAGAAGGGGGGGGGGAGGAGGGAATTCCAAAGTGGATTCTACGAAGTTGTCGAGGTGCGGTCGCGATTCGACTCAAGCGTTCGGTGCGTCGTGTTTTTGGAGGATAACCGATCCCGATGCGCGCGCACGACTCCGCGTCGGCGTGCAATCGACCTGCCGGCAACAACCCAAGACCTCCTGCATACCGGGCGAGGTAGTTAACATCTTGACTTGAAGCTTTCGTGACTGCAGGAATTATCATTCAATCGATTTTCTTTCTCCGTGACTTTACCGAAAGAACCACAAAGAGTTCGCATCTCGTCACATTGGTGCCCCTATAGACCCGGGGTGAGAAAACGTCGGGGATTGTGGTCTGCGCTGTGCAAAAGTCGCCGGACCCCTTAACCACGACACAAAACCGCGACTCGCACGCAACCGTCGCGTGCGACGCAGGGGTCAGGGGTCGGGGGTCACACCTTGAGGACCTGCGCCAGGGACACGGTCTCCTGCTGCGCCAGCGCGACCCCGCGGGCGCGCTCCACCGCCCCCAGCTGATGCGCCGACTCCTCCACCGCCTGCAGCAGCTGCAGCTCGGCCGCCAGCCGCTGCGACAGCCCCCAGGGGGAGCTCCGTGCCGGGCCCCACGGCTCCTGCTGCTGCTGCCCACCGCCGCCCTCCCACCCGAGCCGCCCCCTTTCCTCGCGCGGTGGGGAGGGGGCGGAGAGGACCGGAAGCCCGTCCCGCATGCCGCTCACAACCTCCTCCGCCCCTTCCTCCTCCAGGTCGGGCGAAATCGTTGAAGTCTTCCGTCGGCGACCTCCGACCCCGTCCGTCCACGCGCGAGGAGAGTCCCGCCCTGCCGGGCCCCGGACTGGCGAGGGGAGCGCAGGCTCGGGGGGCGACGCCAGGCCGCCCGCGTCGTCGTCCTTCTCGCCGGCGGAGTTCGCCGGCGGGGGGGGTCCCTCCGCGGGGGGCAACGTCCGCTCCCCTGTGCCGCTGCCGATTCCTTGCCGATCGGCACCGTCCGGAGACCTGGCAGGGCGAGGGTCAGGGTCACGGCGCAGAGCCAGAACCGGTGCCAAAATTCGTCCAAGCTCTGTGGTCCTATTTATATAGGCGCCACGGTGGCTGGGAGATGTTAACTACCTCGCCTGGTACGCAGGAGGTCGTGGGTTCGATCTCGACCCTGACACCTGCTGCTGTATATTTGGAGTTTGCGTGTCTCTCTCATCATCATCATCACGGTGGCTGGGAGATGTTAACTACCTCGCCTGGTGTGCAGGAGATCGTGGGTTCGATCCAGACCCTGACGCCTGCTGCTGTATATTTAGAGTTTGCGTGTCTCTCTCTCATCATCATCACGGTGGCTAGGAGATGTTAACTACCTCGCCTGGTACGCAGGAGGTCGTGGGTTCGATCCCGACCCTGACGCCTACTGCTGTATATTTGGAGTTTGCGTCTCTCTCTCTCTTACCCGGAGTCGTGTGGATTTGTCTCCGGGTCCTCCGGTTTTTTATCTCTCCACGTTTAAAATCAACGTCACGCGTTCAGAGCATGTGGCTGCCGCTATAAATTTCCACACGATTATGATGAGCCACTTCGCTCAGCTATCATTCGTGATAGCCAGGTCGCTTCTCAAACCGATCTATTTCACTCAGTGGGTCCTTAGCTGGTAAAATAAACAAATATGTAAGTCAGTTTTTGTACCAGTTGAAAGGGTAAAAACCTACTACTATATTTTGCCTACTGGTAAAGGAGATGTCTCATAGTGTAAATGCTTACCCCGAGCTCTCAATACTCTGATAGTGCGCTGTTTTTGAGATGTACGCCTTTTGGCGTCATCTGGTCCAACACCAATGGAGACTAGGCTCTAAGAAAAGCTGTCTCGGGTGTGGACCAATCAACTTCAAGGACAGTGCATATCATTATCATCATCAGAGTTGTTTCTTTTTGTTTGCATTTTGACAGCTTGTGTTGTGGTTATTGCTAACATGATCCCTTGTATAAAGGTGTCAGTTTTGTACCAGTTGAAAGGGTGAAAACCAATTACTATGCAAGTTTCTATTCAGTGAATGTTTAGACACGCGTGAATGAGAACGCGCACTTCAGAGAGGTCCCCATCCTCGCCAGAGGTCGCAACCGGGTACCCGATACCCGTACCCGTACCCGGCCGGGTACGGGTACGGGTAGCCGTTTGCGACCCTGGTGCGGCCGGGTACGGGTACGGGTAGGCCGTGAGTCACTGGTGAGTCACCGTTTGTCACTCATTTCGGGTAGGGAACGGGTACCCGTACCCGGCTGGGTACGGGTACCCGACAGGCACGAGGGGTAGCCACTGCCCCCCACAGGTTCCACAATGACGACAGGTCAACTCGGCGCAGCGCTCCGTTTCTGTCGTGCGGGCCCTTCGCCCACGGCGCATAGTTTTTTTCACGGTGTGAACTGGATGCGACGCGACCGAGCCAACGGGGGGTAATAAGCGGTCGTGATACGGCCGCCTCGGCGGGGCGTCGTCAGCAGCACTGGGATGCTGCTGGATGCTTCTAGATGCTACCCGCGGCCTGCATACTCCGCATCTCACGCATCACCGCGGACTGCGCCTTACCCCCTACGTTATATACGTTATTCATTAGAACGCGATTTTATCCACTAAGCAGTGTTCTTCAGGAACGCAACCACTACCAACCACCGCCTTCTAGCAGAACACGACCATACATTCTCTCACCGCCTCCCTTCCCTCTCCTCCTCTCTCTGACCAAACACCCCGTTCCCCACCCCTCCACCGTTTCGTGAGCGACGCAGCGAGGCCAAACCCCTTTCCCCCACACCGTGCGCGCGGGGTCTCGGGGCCTCGTCGTCCGCGCGACAACGGTCACCACCGCCACCCGCCTTGCCGGCTCACCGAGGGGCCGACGGCGGCGCCGTCACCGCTGGTGCCGCCCCGAAGCTCGTGCACGCCGTGCCGGAGGAGGAGGCGAAGCTGTCCTCGTCGTACGCGTCCACGGAGCGCTGCCCGGGCGACTCCGCTCCGCGGCTCTCCTCCTCCTGCTCCTCCTCCTGCTCCTCCGCCTTCTCCACGTCTGCGATATCCACGTCGTCGCGGCCACCGCCGCGTCCTGAATATTGCAGGTGGGGCGGGCCACAGCCGTAGGCAATTCCACAGGGCCGGTGACTCGCAGTGGCCACACGGCACTGCCTCCCATCACACGACCGTGAGCCCCGGTAAACCCGCCCGCATCCGGCGTCCGGTTGCCGAACGAACACGCGCCCATTCCGCGCACGAAGTGCTCGCCACAAACGGACCGCAACACCCTCGGACCCGATCTCGTCAAGAAAGCGTAAACCATCGTCACGCGAACTCCGCTCATCCTCGCAAGCAGCGGATTTTGGCTGGCCGTCAAACAAAGACGGTCTCCGCATCGAGCGCTTTCAGATGCGCCTCTGCGGCAGTCTGGAATGCGATGTTAGGAAGCCTCTTTTTGAGTCATCTACGTCGAAAACTCATTTCTTTAGAACTGCTTTTTGTGTTCAGTTTGTTGTTCTATCCCCGCACCTCCGATTAGCACGCTTGGCTACGTACGGTGTGAAACAAGTTCCACACACATACATCATCACTGTCATCATCGATCGATCAACTGCTGGATCAAGGCCTCGCCAAGCCCTTAGCGAGCAGCACCTAATCAGGCAGGCACGGCACACGAGGGTGGTATGGCCAGCACCACACCCGGCCGTCTTTGTATCCCCAATGGCGCCGACGCCCCCTTCCTGCCACGGGCCCCCCCCCCCCGCCACCCCCCTTCCTTACCGGTCTCCACGACCGGCGCCATGCCGGCCGACGGGCCCAGGCCTGCCGGCGCCCCGTGCCGCCGCACGTAGATGGCGATGGCGCTGTTGGGACTGCCCCTCGCCAGCTCCTCCCAGGCCGGCGCCGCCGCCTCCGCCCGGGGCATCGCGCAGAAGTCGACCTCGGCGAGCCGCGACGCCAGCGACGGGGGCGGCCGGGGCGGCCGTGGGGCGGCTCCGGATCCGTCGAGCCGCTCCCGCCGGTTCGGCGGGGACGACGACCTGGGCCGGGTCGTCGGCCGCTGCGGCCGCTCGTCGTCGTCGTCGTCGGACAGCTCCCCCTCGCTCAGCAGGGGCCCCTCGCTCAGCGAGCCCGGGCTGTCGCTCAGAATCGACGACCGCTCCCCGCCGTGGTCGCGCGCTCCGCCGCCGTCGCCGCCGCCGCTGTCACCGCCGTCGGCGGGGTGCGACGGGCCGGGCCGCTGCGATGCGGCGGACCAGGAGGCCGCGTGCCGTAGCGGGGCGGGCCCCAGCGAGCGGTCGGCGAGGCGGCGCACGATGGCCGCCACGCGTTCCTCGTAGCTCGACGGCGGCGCGGCGGCCGAGGTCCCGGCGGGGCCAACCGCGGACCCCGGCAGGTCCCCCACGAACACCGCGTGCCCATCCGGCGGGAAGCCGCCCGTCCAAAACGCCGGCGCCGCCTCGCCCTCTCGGCGGCGCTCGCCGCCGGCCCCCAGCATCTCCCGCACGCGGGCGCCGAAACGGTCGCCGGGCGACGCGGGCGACGCGGGCCCCCCCCCCCGTGCGCCGTCCGTGAAGTCCGTGCGCAGGTCCTCCAGGCCCAGGCCGCGGCCGCGGCCCTCCGGCTCGGCGGGGACGGAGCGGGCCAGGGCGGCCGCGGCGGCGGGCGACAGGAGGCCGACTCCGGCGAGGCGGCGCGTCTCCTCCTCCACGCGCAGCGACAGCGACGCGGCGGCGGCTACGGGCAGCGAGGTCGCACGCGCGAGACAAAGGTCGCTCCTGTGTAGACTTTTTACCCCCCCTCCGCGTTTAGAATCAACGCAGAGTATTCGTCCGCAATACATTTGCGCGCGGTGATAAGCCAGATAAGTCGAGCTGTCATTCGTGATAACCAGGTCACTTATGAAAAAGAGATTCATAGCTGATGGGGCCTTGCTTGGTAAAATGTCAGTTTATAGTTTAGCTTAGCCTGCAACAGGCTATTATTGCCTGTTGATTCACCCCTCGGTTGGCTACGTACGGAGCGAGGGAAGTTCAACATATTGTACACACATACTGCCCATAGACTAACACTAATTATAGACTCAACAATGCCCATAGACTAACACTGCCCATAGACTAAACACTACCCATAGACTAACACTAACTATAGACTAACACTGCCCATAGACTCAACACTGCCCATAGACTAACAATACCCATAGACTCAACACTAACTATAGACTCAACACTGCCCATAGACTAACACTGCCCATAGACTCAACACTGCCCATAGACTCAACACTGCCCATAGACTCAACACTGCCCATAGACTAACACTACCCATAGACTAACACTGCCCATAGACTAACACTGCCCATAGACTCAACACTGCCCATAGACTAACACTGCCCATAGACTCAACACTGCCCATAGACTCAACACTGCCCATAGACTAACACTGCCCATAGACTAACACTGCCCATAGACTCAACACTACCCATAGACTCAACACTGCCCACAGACTAACACTGCCCATAGACTCAACACTACCCAAAGACTAACACTAACTATAGACTCAACACCGTCCATAGACTCAACACTGCCCATAGACTAACACTGCCCACAGACTCAACACTGCCCATAGACTCAACACTACCCATAGACTCAACACTACCCATAGACTCAACACTACCCATAGACTCAACACTACCCATAGACTCAACACTACCCATAGACTCAACACTGCCCGTAGACTAACACTACCCAAAGACTAACACTAACCATAGACTCAACACTGCCCATAGACTCAACACTACCCATAGACTCAACACTACCCATAGACTCGACACTACCCACAGACTCAACACTACCCATAGACTCAACACTACCCATAGACTCAACACTACCCACAGACTCAACACTACCCATAGACTCAACACTACCCATAGACTCAACACTACCCATAGACTCAACACTACCCATAGACTCAACACTGCCCATAGACTCAACACTGCCCATAGACTCAACACTACCCATAGACTCAACACTGCCCATAGACTCAACACTACCCATAGACTCAACACTACCCATAGACTCAACACTACCCATAGACTCAACACTGCCCATAGACTCAACACTGCCCATAGACTCAACACCCACAGACTCAACACTGCCCATAGAACACTGCCCATAGACTCAACACTACCCATAGACTCAACACTGCCCATAGACTCAACACTGCCCATAGACTCAACACTGCCCATAGACTCAACACTGCCCATAGACTCAACACTGCCCATAGACTCAACACTGCCCATAGACTCAACACTGCCCATAGACTCAACACTGCCCATAGACTCAACACTGCCCATAGACTCAACACTGCCCATAGACTCAACACTGCCCATAGACTCAACACTGCCCATAGACTCAACACTGCCATAGACTCAACACTGCCCATAGACTCAACACTGCCCATAGACTCAACACTGCCCATAGACTCAACACTGCCCATAGACTCAACACTGCCCATAGACTCAACACTGCCCATAGACTCAACACTGCCCATAGACTCAACACTGCCCATAGACTCAACACTGTCATAGACTCAACACTGTCATAGACTCAACACTGCACCATAGACTCAACACTGCCCATAGACTCAACACTGCCCATAGACTCAACACTGCCCATAGACTCAACACTGCCCATAGACTCAACACTGCCCATAGACTCAACACTGCACCATAGACTCAACACTGCCCATAGACTCAACACTGCCATAGACTCAACACTGCCCATAGACTCAACACTGCCCATAGACTCAACACTGCCCATAGACTCAACACTGCCCATAGACTCAACACTGCCCATAGACTCAACACTGACCCATAGACTCAACATGCCCATAGACTCAACACTGCCATAGACTCAACACTGTCCCTAGACTCACACACTGTCCATATGACTCAACACTGTCCATTGACTCACACTACTGCCCATAGACTCAACACCCATAGACTCAACACTCCCATAGACTCAACACTAGCCCATAGACTCAACACTGCCCATAGACTCAACACTGCCCATAGACTCAACACTGCCCATAGACTCAACCATGGCCCATAGACTCAACACTGCCCATAGACTCAACACTGCCCATAGACTCAACACTGCCCATAGACTCAACACTGCACCATAGACTCAACACTACCCATAGACTCAACACTACCCATAGACTCAACACTGGCCCATAGACTCAACACTGTCCATTGACTCACACTGCTGATAGACTCAACCACCGCACCGGCGATTAGTGCGGTTGGCTACGTACGGTGCGAGAGGACTTCAACGCACTGCACACACATCCAGCTACCCAATCTCCGTCGTGCCGCCCACGGGGTCCTCTTGCGTGGCTAACACCGCCGGCGAGCCGGGGGCCTCACCGCGAATGGCGGCGATCCGCGCCAGCCTGCCCGCCGATGATCGCCGGGGACGCCGCCGCCGCCGTTTCCGCCGCCGTCGCCGCGCCGGTGCCCGGGGCTCCAGACTCCTTCCCCGGCGTCCCCGCCAGCGCCAGCCGGTCTCCGCCGGACCTGGTGGGCACGCGCCCCGCACGCGGTTGGTCACCGTGGGCGCGCCGCCGCGTGTGACCGCGTGGGGAGAGGGGGCTAAACGCTCGCGCGGCGCTGTCGGGATGCGCTTCTGCGGCCGTCTGGAACGCGAAGACCGAGGCTTCGTGGGGCGGCTGGGCCTAGAAGAGGATTCTCCAGGACGGGCAGTTTCGTGCGTCACTCACCGTGTTTGTATGTGTGTGCGTGTGTGTGTTTCTGTGTCTTTTGGTGTATCGGTGTGCGGTGTGCGTGTGTCTGTAACAGCACTTGCACTAACATTGTCTCACGCAAACTCCGGTCATCCTCGTCGCAGCTTTTGGCTGGCTGATCACCGCATCGCGCACTTTCAGATGCGCTTCTGCGTGCCGTCTGGAGCACTCTTCCTTCCGATGAAGGAAGAAAGTTGACGTGAACGCACGCTGCAGGCAGTGCTGGATTATCGTAGTAGCACAAGTAGCTACATGTGTAGTAGCTACATGTGTAGTAGCTACATGTGTAGTAGCTACATGTGTAGTAGCTACATGTGTAGTAGCTACATGTGTAGTAGCTACATGTGTAGTAGCTACGGGCCCCGCACTTTCAAGGGCCCCGCATGAAATGCTTTCAAGCTATCAACTCCGGTTCAGCGATTCCACATTTGCTCTATTACTATACTACTATACCGCCTTCAATTTTTATGAGCGACTGGGTGTTTAAGCTTAGCGATTTGTCATATTATCTGGCTGTGTAGCAAATGAAAAAATACAATTACTTTACTAGGGCTCCTTTATAACATATGCTACAGGCCCTGAACTAGCTTAATCCAGCACAGGCTTCTCACACCTCTTCAACAACCAATGTGTCGGAGTCCTTAAACAAACATACATCCATAAACGGGCGTGGCACAGGCTAGACAAGAGATGGGCTGATGCGGTAGAGGAGCATGTGGACCTGAGTGGACTCGCCGAGTATGTTCGTGACGGACGGCACGGCTGGGCAGTTGGGAGGCAGTCGCCCTCCAACAACAGCGGAGGGCGGAGGAGCGACGCTCACAACAACGAGCGGAGCGCCGGGGCGGATAAAACACGGCGAGTTGGCATAGTGGGAACCACCAGCGGTGCATCTGCACCACCTGGTCAGCCAACCCATGGCACCTGGGTCTGTCCCATGACCCACTTGCCAGCCGTAATCCTTTGACCCTTCACACGGCCTCGAGGTGCACCTAGCCTGGCACAATCGGCGAACGGCGGCCGTTTGTCGCCGCGTGCGTGGTTGAGTGGCGGCCGTGTGCCGAGCTCTTGAGCACTCACCCGGCCAGCGGGCTCGTGGCGTCGCCAGCAGAGTCTCCCTCCCCCTGTTCCTCATCCTCCTCCTCATCATCCTCCTCATCATCCTCCTCATCATCCTCCTCATCATCCTCCTCATCGTCGTCCTCCGGGCTGCTGGAGGTCACGGGAGGACGCGAATCCCCTTCCTGCTGCTTCCTTCTCGGCCTCTCCTCCGAGATCTCGGGCAGCAGCCGCCTCTGCGAACAGCAACGCGGCAAGACACTGAAGCACAGAGCACGGGCAGGAGCAGCAGCAGCTGTAGTGGCAGCAACAGCAGCAGCGGCAGCAACAGCGGTGGAAGTAGCAACGACAACAGCGGCAGCAGTAACAACAGCAGCAGTGACAGCATCAGCAGCTGTAGCGGCAGCAACAGCAGCAGCGGCAGCAACAGCAGTGGAAGTAGCAACGAAAGCAGCGGCAGCAGTAACAACAGCAGCAGTGACAGCATCAGCAGCGGTAGCGGCAGTGGCGGCACCAGCAGCAGCTGTGGCAGCAGCATTGGCTGTGGCAGCAGCAGTGGCTGCGCCGGTCTGGTAGTCAAAGGGCAGAGTTAACATCTCAGTGGTTCTCACCACGGCGCTGCAACGCAACACAGTCGGACACCCGACAAAATTACCCATCAGCCACCAGCCCAGAGATGGAATAAAGTGTGCGTGGTCATTGTCCGTGGTGGCTTGTGTCTGTCCATCATACGGCCTTGTGGAACCAGAATCGAGGTGTCGTTTGCGTCGATTCTGCCCACAGTCGATCCGACAGCCACGCCGAGAGCATCGATTCATCGGCGGGGGTCGATTGCCGCCGCGTCGATACGTTGGCAAGCGATCCGTGGATCGACCAATCCCATTGGTTGGGTGCGGCAGTCGTGCCCGCTGTTTTTGATCGACCGATATCTGCGCGATCGGCGATTCGCTCGCAAGTTCGTTTTCATCGCACGACCAATCGAGTCCTTTCCCCATCGTTTCAAACTGCCGCTCCGGGAGATACGAGAACTATTCTTGTTGCCCACACAATGCACGAGCTTGGATACGGGCTGGTTTGGCTGATGCAGCTCCTTACGATAAAAATTTCCCTCCCTTTATTACTGCTAATCCTACTTCCTCGCCTTAATCACCACTAATCCTACGTAATACACGAGAATAATATGAATTTGAGACCCCCCCCACCACCACCACCTACACATTCCACAAGGAGTGACTAATCCCATATCTGCATTTTCCATCAATATGCTTAATTCCGGTGTTGATATGTAAACTTCTTTGTCAAGGCGCTTTCCTCCCCTCGACCCAGCTGAAACATACGCTGCCAAGCTTGGCGGTGTTCATGGGACGCTGTCTTTCTGACAGCTCTGTTCTTCACCTGAGGACTGCTACTTGCGTTGTGGCCGAAACGTCGTGAGAATTTAAATTTTATGATGTTTAATTTTTATTATTTTATTATTTTCCCTTCTACGTGACTTTACCGAAAGAACCAAGAAGATGAATCCCTGCAGTCACGAAAGCTTTAAATCGAAATTCAACAATTCTTTTTATACCATTGTTATTTTGCCAGGTATGGGTCCCCCCCCCCCCCCCCCCACCCCGCTTAGCTGTGTAGCTATTTTTCAGACGCGACCACCTGCCCATCGCACATGACAGCTCGACGAAGGGTGGCGGCTTCTCGTCGTCGCGGGCAATTTCGCAGCGGCAGAAAAATACTCGGTGGACGCGCGTCGATTCTAAAATGGAGGGAAAAACCGGAGGATCCAGAGTAAAAAAAGAATCCACGCGACCATAGGGAGAGAGAACACGGAAACTCCAAATATACAGGCATCGTCGGGGTCGAACCCACGACCTCCTGTATACCAGGCGAGGTAGTTAACATCTCGGTGACGAGACGCTAACTACCTCGGTGCGCTGTGACGGAGCGCCGTGACGGAGCCCTGTGACGGAGCTCTGTGGCGGAGCGTCGTGACGGAGCGCCGTGACGGAGCTCCGTGACGGAGCTCTGTGACGGAGCGCCGTGATGGAGCACCGTGACGGAGCGCCGTGACGGAGCGCCGTGACGGAGCGCCGTGATGGAGCGTCGTGACGGAGCCCTGTGACGGAGCTCCGTGACGGAGCGTCGTGACGGAGCGCCGTGACGGAGCCCTGTGACGGAGCTCTGTGATGGAGCGCCGTCACGGAGCGCCGTCACGGAGCGCCGTGACGGAGCGCTGTGACGGAGCTCTGTGACGGAGCGCTGTGATGGAGCGTCGTGACGGAGCCCTGTGACGGAGCTCTGTGACGGAGCGTCGTGACGGAGCACCGTGACGGAGCCCTGTGACGGAGCTCTGTGACGGAGCGCTGTGATGGAGCGCCGTCACGGAGCGCCGTCACGGAGCGCCGTGACGGAGCGCTGTGACGGAGCTCTGTGACGGAGCGCTGTGATGGAGCGTCGTGACGGAGCCCTGTGACGGAGCTCTGTGACGGAGCGTCGTGACGGAGCGCCGTGACGGAGCCCTGTGACGGAGCTCTGTGACGGAGCGCTGTGATGGAGCGCCGTCACGGAGCGCTGTGACGGAGCTCTGTGACGGAGCGCTGTGATGGAGCGCCGTCACGGAGCGCCGTCACGGAGCGCCGTGACGGAGCGCTGTGACGGAGCTCTGTGACGGAGCGCTGTGATGGAGCGTCGTGACGGAGCCCTGTGACGGAGCTCTGTGACGGAGCGTCGTGACGGAGCGCCGTGACGGAGCGCCGTCACGGAGCGCCGTCACGGAGCGCTGTGACGGAGCTCTGTGACGGAGCGCTGTGATGGAGCGTCGTGACGGAGCCCTGTGACGGAGCTCTGTGACGGAGCGTCGTGACGGAGCGCCGTGACGGAGCGCTGTGACGGAGCTCTGTGACGGAGCGCTGTGATGGAGCGTCGTCACGAAGCTCTGTGACGGAGCTCTGTGATGGGAATTTCTGGACAGGGAAACAGGAAGTGCCGTCACCAGGAAGTCGTCGCGTGCCGCGTGGTCGAGGGGCGCCGCCGTGAAGGTGCTCGCCAGGTCCACTTTGTCCTGCTCACACACGGCGTACACACACAGTGTATACACAGTGTACACACACAGTGTACACACACACACAGTATGTACACACACAGTGTACACACACACAGTATGTACACACACACAGTGTACACACACACAGCGTACACACACACAGTATACACACACACAGCGTACACACACACAGTACACACACACACACAGCGCACACACACAGTGTACACACACACAGTGTACACACAGTGTACACACACACACAGTGTACACACAGTATGTACACACACAGTGTACACACAGTATGTACACACACAGTGTACACACACACACAGCGTACACACACACAGCGTACACACACACACACAGTTTACACACAGTGTACACACAGCGTACACACACACAGTGTACACACAGCGTACACACACACAGTGTACACACAGTGTACACACACACACAGTGTACACACACAGTGTACACACATAGTGTACACACACACACAGCGTACACACACACACAGTGTACACACAGTGTACACACACACACAGCGTACACACAGTGTACACACACACACAGCGTACACACACACACAGTGTACACACACACACAGTGTACACACAGTGTACACACACACACGGCGTACACACACACAGTGTACACACACACACAGTATGTACACACACAGTGTACACACACACACAGCGTACACACACACACACAGCGTACACACACACAGTTTACACACAGTGTACACACACACACAGCGTACACACAGTGTACACACACACACAGTGTACACACACACACAGTGTACACACACACACAGCGTACACACACACACACAGCGTACACACATACAGTTTACACACAGTGTACACACACACACAGTGTACACAGTGTACACACACACAGTTTACACACAGTGTACACACACACAGTGTACACACACACACAGCGTACACACAGCACACACACACAGTGTACACACAGCACACACACACAGTGTACACACACACAATGTACACACACACAGTGTACACACACACACAGTGTACACACAGTGTACACACGCACAGTATATACACAGTGTACACACGCACAGTACACACACAGTGTACACACACACTGTACACACACAGTGTACACACAGCACACACGGTGTACACACACAGCGTACACACACAGCGTACACACAGCACACACACACTAAACACAGCGTACACACTAAACACAGCGTACACACAGCACACACACAGTAAACCTCCCTCTCGCCCGTGCACCTCACCTTGCCACCAGGTGCCCTCCGACCGCCATTGCCGTCGCTCTTCTTGTTGCCGCCACCACCACCACCGCTACTGGCGGCGGTGGTGGTGGCGGCGGCGGTGGTGGTGGCGGTGGTGCTGGCGACCGCCGCCTGGCGCTGGGCCACGTAGAGCTCCCGCAGGCGCCGGCTCCTCAGCTCAGAGGCGGCGCGGCGGGCGGCTCGGTCGCGCGCCGCCGCCCGCCGCTGCTCGGCGCCGCGCCGCGCCATGTAGCACCGCACCTCCTCCGCGTCATAGTGACGCCGCTTCTCCCGCTGCGCCGGCGCCGCGCTCTGCTGCTGCTGCTGCTGGCGCTGTTGCTGCTGCTGCCGTGACGTCGGCCGCAGCGACGTCCGCGTCGCTGCGGGCGCCGGTGCCGCCGGTGCCGCCGATGCCGGCGGCGCCAAACCCCAAGGTCCCGGTACGTGGGCGTCTCTGCTCCTAGAGCGCTGCGCGATAAACGTGCGATTAATGTAGAGTACGCGCGCGTGCGTGTGTGCGTGTTGAACTTCTTTCGCGCCGTACGTAGCCAACCGTGCGAGCTGCCAATGACAATCTGCGTGCTCGGCGTTGCGCAGTCGCAACAGAGCCGTGGCCGAGAACGATCTCGCCGCGGTTGCGAGATGTCAACCACCTCGCCCGGCACGCAAGAGATCGTGGCTTCGAACCCCGACTCTTGACGTTTTTGACCTCGAAGCAAACACCGCGACGGCGATTGCTGTCGTCGCTTTGATTCTGAGTCGTTTGCAAAGGCCCGGTTTACGAATGTCGGCCGCGCAGGTCTGGTGACCACGCCGACGGGAGAGGAGAGAACGTTCCTCCGGCTACGCTCGAGCGGTTCCCCGTCACGAAGGCGGTTCCTGTCCGCGCCGCCTGCGCTGCCACGGCAGCAAGCACCAGCTCGTTAGAATCTCATCGGGGGGGACGGGGATGGGGGGATCGGTACCGATGACGCCGAGACGCCGGGACGGCCCCTCTTGCCGGGCGGACGACGCTCGCCGCTGCCCCCTTCCCCGTGGCCCTCGCCTCCCTCGGCCTTCCTCTTCGGGGAGGTCCCGTGCTGCACTGCGGCCTCCTCCTCTCCGTCGTCGGCCCGCGCCCGACCCCTGACCTCGGGCACCGATCGAGGGGGCGCCGGGCGCGAGGACGGGGGCACGCTGGCTTCTACGCGCCGTCGGGAGAAGCGAGAGAGAGAGGGCGAGAGAGAGCGGTGGACGCGGGTGAGCCAGCGTGCGACGGAGAGAGTGGGCGATCGAGCGAGCGTGTGCTTGAGCGAGCGAGCGTGCGACGGAGTGAGTGGGCGATTGAGCGAGCGGGTGCTTGAGCGAGCGAGCGTGCGACGGAGTGAGTGGGCGAGCGAGCGAGCGTGTGCTTGAGCGAGCGAGCGAGCAGGTAAGCGGTGTAGTTCAGGCTCACCCTCGTCGACTCGCAGGTCGCTGACTGTGAGCGGCTCCTCTGCGACGTCTCCCTCCCCCGCGTCGCCACGTTCCCGCTCCCCGTCGCGACTGGCCGATCTCCGGGCCCCTCCGGCTCCCCGCAGCGGCGAGGGCCGTCCCCCGTGTAGCTGGGACGTCCGGCCGGGACGCCCTGCGGTAACGAGAAGGAGCAGGCGAAGGCCGAGACTTTCTGGGACGACTGGGCCTAGAGAGGGCTTCTCTGGGACGGGCCTTTGGCGTGCGTCCCTCACCGCGTTTGTGAATGTGTGCGCGTTTGCCGTGCCGGCCTTCATAGGTGCTGCTCGCTAACAGCATTTGCCCCAACAATCTGTTGAAGGCTATATGGGGGATCTTTGTCTCTGCTCTATACACACACCAAAGATCCCCCGTATAGCCTTAACAGACTGTAGGGGCAAGTGCTGTTAGCGAGCACCTATGAAGGCCAGAACGGTACACGAGGGGGTGGGTGGCCAGCACCACGCCCGATCGCCTTTGTCTCCCAAGTGGTGATGTTTACACACCGCACCAGGTACTCATTTGAGGCTGAGTCGACCTAGGGGAGGCCCGGGACCGGTTCAGATAATCGTCACTGGTGTTGGCCGTGAGCAGAAATCGAACCCGGGTTGCCGGGTTCATAGCGCAGCGCGCTAACTGCTACACTACCGCTACACACACACACACGTACACACACACACACGTACACACACACACACACACGTACGTACCGTCCGTGGGGGGCTCCTTCTCCGCGCGGCTGGGGTCGTGGGTCGCGGGTCCCAGCAGGGCCCGCACCAGCCTCGCTCCGTCGCGCCACGACGACGTGGTGATGATGCGCGACCCTGGCAGGCGCACAACAAGCAACGTCGTCGTCACCTCCTCGTCCTCGCCGCTCGCGACGCCGCCCACCGTCGCAGCGTCATCGTCGACGATGCTCCGGCCGCCCCTGTCCACCCTCCCCCCCCCCCCCCAACCACCCGGGGTCGAGGCAGCTGCTCGACCGGGGCGCCTGGACAGGATCCCCGTTCGCGATCGTAGGTGAAAGAACCCGGCGGAAACTTCGGAGGAGAAAACGGAGCGGCGTGCTGCGTGCGACGCAGTGGTGGGGGGGGAGACGCTCACGACTCTTCGCTGTTGTGAACACGGCCGCCGAGGGGGAGGGGCGTGGGGCCCAAAGACACAAACGCCAAGCGGCCTGCGACGAACGGCACCAGTGTCGAAGTTGTGACAGGTAAGAGTGCAACGGGCGTCTTGAATTGAGCGAGGTTATGGTCAACAGAGTTGGGGGAAAGGCGATGATGGTGGTGGTGATGGTGATGGGAAGAATCAGAGAGAGGAGTGAGGTGGCCTGCAGTGTGGTGAGTCGGTGGATATTTGGGTGAGTGTGTAAGTGGTTGGGTGTGTGAGTGATAGCGTGACTGAATGTGTGCGTGTGTGAGTGAGTGTGCGAGTGAATGTGCGAGCGAGTGTGCGAGTGTGCGAGCGAGTGTGCGAGTGAGTGAGCGAGTGTGCGAGCGAGTGTGTGAGTGAGCAAGTGAGCGAGTGTGCGAGTGAGTGAGCGAGCGAGTGTGTGAGCGAGTGTGCGAGTGAGCGAGCGAGTGTGCGAGCGTGTGTGCGAGTCAACGAGTTGTTGTGACCTGCAGTGTGGTGGTGGTTTCGACGAAACAGTCTGGTATCAACCAAGTCCTCAACTTGGAAGGAGGAGGAACTTCTACCTGCAATCTGTGCATCTGATGTAACTCCCAATATGCTGGCGGGATGCTCATTCCACGGAGACGCCCCACGGCATCGCTCACTGGGCGACTGGGCATTGTGAACTCTTCACGGCGGCACCGTTACGCGGCGCTGCCACCCAGGCCGCAACCCGGGGCAGCCGGGCCAGTTGGCTCGACGCGGGGCGGTCGGGCGACGCCGACATATTCACCGAGATCCGGCGCCAGCGTCGCGCGGCGGTGCCGAGACGCTAACGGCCTCGCCCGGCGCGCAGGAGGTCGCGGGCTCGCGGGTTCGATCCCGACGAAACTCGCCGCAAGCGATGCCCCCCCCCCCACGCGCCACCCACAGCCCCCCACGACGCCGACCCCCGGGGCGGGGGCGACTCGGGCCCGGCGTTGGCGGGCGAGTTAATCGCGGGGCGTCGCGTGCGGTCGCGCCGCTCGTCCGTCACGCGGAGCGCCAAACCTCGCTATACGCACGAAGGAGGAGGGGGGGGGGCAGGTGAGTTGGGGGGAGGGTGGTGGGGGACGTGGGGCACGCCCATCACTGGGCCGCTCCATCCATCAGACACGGAGCGATGAATTGGATTCCTGTCGGGACGCGGAGAGAGAGGGCAGAGGGGAGAGCGAGGGGAGAGCGAGGGGAGAACGAGGGGAGAGCGGGGGGAGAGCGGGGGGAGAGCGGGGGGAGAGCGAGGGGAGAGCGGGGGGAGAGCGGGGGGAGAGCGGGGGGAGAGCGAGGGGAGAGCGGGGGGAGAGCGAGGGGAGAGCGGGGGGAGGAGCGGGGGGAGAGCGGGGGAAGAGCGAGGGGAGAGCGAGGGAGAGCGAGGGGAGAGCGGGGGGAGAGCGAGGGGAGAGCGGGGGGAGAGCGAGGGGAGAGCGAGGGGGAGAGCGGGGGGGAGAGCGGGGGGAGAGCGAGGGGAGAGCGAGGGGAGAGCGGGGGGAGAGCGGGGGGAGAGCGAGGGGAGAGCGAGGGGAGAGCGGGGGAGAGCGGGGGAGAGCGAGGGGAGAGCGGGGGGAGAGCGAGGGGAGAGCGAGGGGAGAGCGAGGGGAGAGCGGGGGAGAGCGAGGGGAGAGCGGGGGGAGAGCGAGGGGAGAGCGGGGGGAGAGCGGGGGGAGAGCGAGGGGAGAGCGAGGGGAGAGCGGGGGGAGAGCGGGGGGGAGCGAGGGGAGAGCGAGGGGAGAGCGGGGGAGAGCGGGGGGGAGAGCGAGGGGAGAGCGGGGGGAGAGCGAGGGGAGAGCAGAGGGAGGGAGAGCGAGGGAGAGCGGGGGAACGAGGGGAGAGCGAGGGGAGAGCGAGGGGAGAGCGGGGAGAGCGAGGGGAGAGCGGGGGAGCGAGGGGCGAGCGGGGGAGAGCGAGGGCGAGCGAGGGAGAGCGAGGGGAGAGCGGGGGGAGAGGGGGGTAGGCGAGGGAGAGCGAGGGAGAGCGGGGGGAGAGCGAGGGGAGAGCGAGGGAGAGCGAGGGAGAGCGAGGGAGAGCGAGGGAGAGCGAGGGAGAGCGGGGGGAGAGCGAGGGCGAGCGAGGGAGAGCGAGGGGAGAGCGAGGGAGAGCGGGGAGAGCGAGGGGAGAACGAGGGAGAGCGAGGGGAGAGCGAGGGGAGAGCGGGGGAGAGCGAGGGGCGAGCGAGGGGAGAGCGAGGGCGAGCGAGGGAGAGCGAGGGAGAGCGGGGGGAGAGCGGGGGAGAGCGAGTGGAAGCGAGGGGAGAGCGGGGGAGAGCGAGGGGAGAGCGAGGGGAGCGAGGGAGCGGGGGGAGCGAGGGGGAGAGCGAGGGGGAGAGCGGGGGGAGAGCGAGGGGAGAGCGAGGGGGAGAGCGAGGGGGAGAGCGAGGGGAGAGCGAGGGGGAGAGCGAGGGGAGAGCGAGGGGAGAGCGAGGGGATGGAGCGAGGGGGAGAGCGAGGGGGAGAGCGGGGGGAGAGCGAGGGGAGAGCGGGGGGAGAGCGAGGGGAAAGAGCGAGGGGAGAGCGGGGGGAGAGCGAGGGTGGATGGAGAGCGAGGGGAGGAGCGGGGGAGAGCGAGGGGAGAGCGAGGGGAGAGCGAGGGGAGAGCGAGGGGAGAGCGAAGGGGGAGAGCGAGGGGAGAGCGAGGGGAGAGTCGATGGGAGAGCGGGGGAGAGCGCGGGTGAGAGCGAGGGGAGAGCGAGTGGGAGAGCGAGTGGGAGAGCGAGGGGGAGAGCGAGGGGAGAGCGAGGGGAGAGCGAGGGGAGAGGCGGGGGAGAGCGAGGGGAGAGCGAGGGGAGAGCGAGGGGAGAGCGAGGGGAGAGCGGGGGGAGAGCGGGGGAGAGCGAGGGGGAGAGCGAGGGGGAGAGCGAGGGGAGAGCGAGGGAGAGCGAGGGGAGAGCGAGGGGAGAGCGAGGGGAGAGCGAGGGGAGAGCGAGGGGAGAGCGAGGGGAGAGCGGGGGGAGAGCGAGGGGAGAGCGAGGGGCGAGCGAGGGGGAGAGCGAGGGGAGAGCGGGGGGAGAGCGAGGGGAGAGCGAGGGGAGAGCGAGGGGAGAGCGAGGGGAGAGCGAGGGGAGAGCGAGGGGAGAGCGAGGGGAGAGCGGGGGGAGAGTGTGGAATGTTGAAACTTGTAGAGAAGTGGAAACCCTGTCCCCCCCCACCTACCCGCTCACCCACCAACCCACGCACCCACCACCCACTCGCCTGCTCACTCACCTACCCACTCACCCACCCCGCTCACCCACCAACCCACCCACCCACTCACCCATCCCACTCACCCCGCTCACTCACCAACCCACCCACTCACTCACCCACTCCCTCACCCACCCACTCCCTCACCCACCCACCGTCCACTCACCCACCTACCCTCTCACTCAACTCACCCACTCATGTATACAAGCACTGCTGGTGACCCACGCAGGTGTGATCCAGGCTCTAATCTGCTTGGAATGTGGCAGATGCTTTGTGGAGGTCAGTGTTGGTGGATCACGCAGAGATTGTGATACTCCCATAGCAGCTCGGCTCCAGCGTAGCCAGATGGTGGCAGCACAGCAAGTGGTTTACAGAATAAGAATGATACACATGAAGACAAAGATCCCCCATATAGCCTGGAACAAACTGCTGGGGCAAGTACTATTAGTGAGCACCTATAAAGGCACGCACAATGCACCAGGTAGTCATTTGAGGCCGAGTCGACCTAGAGGAGGCCCGGAACCAGTTCATATAATCGTCACGGATGTTGGCCGTGAGCGGGAATTGAAGTGCTGTTGGCGAGCACCTATGAAGGCCGGCGCAGCACACGAGGGGTGGGTGGCCAGCACCACGCCCGGCCGCCTTTGTCTCCCCAGTGGCGATGTTTACTCCACACCGCACCAGGTACTCATTTGAGGCCGAGTCAACCTAGGGCGGGCCCAGGACCGGTTCAGATTATCACGGGTCGCCTGGTTCATAGCGCGGTGCGCTAACCACACACACACACACAGACGCGCATGCACACACGCGCGTGCATGTTTTAGTGAAATTAAAACTCGGGGTGGCAATCGATGGAGCGTGTGGAGGGCAGGAGGTGCCACTAATCCCATAGAGGTCACCACACCACGCCCCCACTCATCCATCACCATCGCGGAGCCACGCTCGGCTTGCTCACTCGCACGATCGCTCACTCGCACAGTCGCTCGCAAACACGATCGCTCGCAAACACAGTCGCTCGCAAACACGACCGCTCGATTAATCGCTCGCTCGCAAACACGACCGCTCGCAAACACGACCGCTCGATTAATCGCTCCCCAATCGCTCGCTCGCAAACACGATCGCTTCTCAATCGCGCGATCTATCGATCCATCACTCGCGATCCATCGCTCCCAGTGAGCTAACAGAAGCACGTGTGCGAGGACTGCTCTGTGTGTACACGTGTACATTGCGTGCGTTTGGGATTCCGTCTCCGCCACTAGACGCTCCATGTGAGATGTTGACTACCTCGCCTGGTGTGCAGGAGGTCGTGGGTTCGATCCTGGCCCTGACGCTTGCTGCTGTATATTTTGAGTTTGCGTGTCTCTCTCTCTCATCATCATCACAGTGGCTAGTAGATGTTAACTACCTCGCCTGGTCTACAGGAGGTCGTGGGTTCGATCCCGACCGTGACGCCTGCTGCTGTGTATTTGAAGTTTGCGTGTCTCTCTCTCTCATCATCACGGTGGCTAGTAGATGTTAACTACCTCGCCTGGTCTACAGGAGGTCGTGGGTTCGATCCCGACCGTGACGCCTGCTGCTGTATATTTGAAGTTTGCGTGTCTCTCTCCCCGTGGTCGCGTGGATGTTTCTCCGGACCTTCCGGTTTTTCCCTCCACATTTAGAATCAACGTCACGCGTCTAGAGAATTTGGCTGCTGCTATAAATGTCCACGTGGTGGTGATGATGATGGTGGTCAGCCACTTCGTTGAGCGGCTATCATTTGTGATAGCCAAGTCGCTTCTGAAAAAGAGCTACGTAGCAGCTCAGCGGAGCCTTACCTGGGGTCAAACAAAAATGGTTGAGAATTTATCTCCGCACAATCAAAAACAAAACCACGCAACAACGAGCCCTTGAGCCAAAACGCGAGCGGTCCCCCCCCACGCCTCCCACGGGGCCTCACCTTTACCGGGAGCCGCGGGCGGAGGAGCGTCGCCGGACGCGCCAGCGCCGAATCCTCCCCGTGCCGCCTGCACCTTCCTCACCGGCTTCCACCGTGCGGGGGGGGCCGCCACCACGGCACGCTCCGGGCTCCTCGCCGGCGCCTTCCCCTCGCTCCCTGCGAACCAGCGCAGCGACAGCGCACGATAGCACGGCGCGTTCCACCCGGTTCGAGAGTAGTGACAGGCCGGCCGCACCGCCCTGGTCAACGGGTTTTGTGCGGAGCGAGGAAATGTGAGCACGTCACCGCCGACTCTTCGTTGCCCGCGTTGGCTTCCGCTAAAATACGCGATCGAATTTGCAAGTTCCTGTATGAGACTCACAAGGCCCCCGAAGGGGGGTTAACGCTCCGTCCTATCTCGCCGATCTGCCGAGAGCGCGTGCCTCTCTCCGGCAACTTCGATCCACCAAATCGGGGCGCCTCGAGTGTACCGATGGGCAAGAGAGCGTCCAGTGGTCGGCCGCCTCGCCTGTGGAAGGCCTCGCCCCGGGTCCGTCAGCCAAGGTTTTTAGGGCTCGTCTGATAAGGTGTACATTTTCTCTCGCGTATCCCTCCTAAGTTTAACGCCGCGATGCCTCGTTGTTGTGAACGGCACCGCACGAAACCGAGTTGTCCTTACGTACCTACCAATGCTGCTGCTGCGGCGGCGTGCGCGTTAGCCGTGATCAAAACACGTACCTCCGTCACGACTTCAAAAAACATTGCGCCAAGCTTAGAAAGCGCCGCCGTAAATGTCTCCGATCGGGATCACGCGACTACTGCCGGCGCGGTGGAAAGCGGGGGGCCTCACCGGAGGGGAGTAGCAGCGAGAAGCGGTGCCGCTGTGCGGGATCCCGCGCCAGCGCCCGGAACTCGTGCTCCCGGTAGACGCTCCCGTCCGGCGCACGCACACTGCACTCCGCCTGGCTAAACCCTGCCACACACCGCACAGAGGCAACAGCGTTAACAGACTGTTGGGGCAAGTGCTGTTAGCGAGCAACGCCTATGAAGGCCGGCACGTCCACACGAGGGGGTGGGTGGCCAGCACCACGCCCGGCCGCCTTTGTCTCCCCGGTGGCGATGTTAACACTCCGCGCCAGGTATTAATTTGAGGCCGAGTCGACCTAGGGGAGGCCCAGAACAAGTTCAGATAATCCTCACCTGGGTTTGGCCGTGAGCGGGAATTGTAGCGCGGCACGCTCACCGCTGCACCACCGCTCCCCGCAGGGACAAAGACACACGAACAACAACAACAACCGCCGTTCACCAGAGGTCGCAAACGGGTTTTGATTCCTTACCTGTACCTGTAGCCGGCCGCACCAGGGTCGCAATCGGGTACCCGTACCCTACCCGATACCCGGCTACCCGTACCCGGCCGGGTATCGGGTAGGGTACGGGTACGGGTACCCGATTACGACCTCTGGGATGAAGCCATGCTGCAGGCGCGGGTGGGTTGATTCTAGGAACTTGAATTGTGAGAAGAGACAAGACGTTGGGAAATGAGTGACAAACGGCTACTCACCAGTGACTCACGGCCTACCCGTACCCGGCTGCTCCAGGGTCGCAAACAGGTACCCGTACCCGGCCGGGTACGGGTAGCCGGGCATCGGGTAGGGTACGGGTATCGGGTACCCGGTTGCGACCTCTGCCGTTCACCACTAAAGAGCCACGCCGGCGCCGGTGCCACGCTCGGTGCGGCTCCGACACGTGAACACACCGCCACTCGCCTCGGTAGACGGGCGCCGGCGGAGCGCTGGCCACTTTGCGAACTTTGGCGGCGAGGAGCCGGGGGGGTTCAGAGAAGACGGGGAGGGCGGCTCGCTCCTCGCCGTGGCCGGGCTCGCCGGTGCCGGTGCCGCCCCGCTCGGCGCGCTGCCGGCTGACGACCTCCCGCAGGCGCCGCAGCTTCTCGTCGTCGCGGGGGACACGGGGACGCCGGGACGGGGCCGCCGCCGGCGCGCGCAGAGACGCCTCGCTGGTGCCTGTCGGCGGCACCGTCAACGATGGCATCGGCGTCGTCATCGCGACGGTTGTCATCGTCGTTATCGTTATCATCGTCGTCATCGTCGTTATCGTGGTCACCGCCGTCACAGATGTCACCATCACAGATGTCACCATCGTCGTCATCATCATCGTCCTTATAGTCATTACAATCATCATCATCATCACGAACATAATCATCATCGCCATCACAGACATCATCATCATCATCGCCACCATCACAGACATCACCATCATCGTCGTCCTCCTTATCGTCATTATCGCCATCACAGACATCATCGCCATCACAGACGTCACCATCATCGTCATCATCTTCGTCCTCATCGTCATTACAGTAATCATCATCATTATCCCAGAAATCATCATCACCATCATCACAGACATCATCGCCATCACAGATGTCATCACAGACATTGCTGTAAGCATTGCTACTTGTCTATTTACTCCTCGGCTGAAGATGAAAATGATAGTGGTGGTGATGATGATGGTGGTGATGATGGTAATGGCAGCGATGATAATGGTGGTGATGATGGTGGTGGCGACGGCAATGATTATGATGGGGCTGGCAGTGATGACGGTGGTAGTGGTGGTGATGGTGATTGCGATGGTGGTGATGACGGTGGTGGTGATGACGGTGGTGATAGTGACGATGGTGGTGATGGTGACGATGATGGCGGTGGTGATGATGGTGGTGATGGTGACGATGATGGTGGTGGTGGTGATGGTGGTGGATGGTGATTGCGATGATGTTGGTGGTGGTGGTGATGACGGTGGTGGTGGTGGTGGTGGTGATGTTAACGGCGATGGAGGTGGTGGTGATGGTGACGATGGTGGTGATGTTGACGATGATGATGGTGATTGCGATGATGTTGGTGGTGGTGATGGTGACGACGATGTATGCGAACCTTGGCTCTCTATAGTCGACAGGGAGAGGCCGGGGTCAGGGGCCGCCTCAAACGCCGTGGAAGACACAGCCGCCCTGTCCCAGCCTCCCACAATCCTTTGCAGCGGCGCGGAGTGGAAGAGCCGCCCGGGGTCTACGGACAGAGCTCCACGGACCCCCCACTCCTCCTCCCTCGCCCCCCACTCCTCCTCCCTCGCCCCCCACGCCTCCCCCCCGATCCCCTCCACGTCGGGGGTAGGGGCGACGGGGCCTGTGGGAACACGCGCGACACACCGGCTGTGACCTCGCTCGCTTGCGTGCACGCACGTACGGCAGTACCGTATGTTAGTTGAACTTATTTCGCACCGCCGTACATAGCTAAACGCGCCAATCGGAGGTTTCGGGGGAAGGACAACAAACTAAACACTCAAAGCAGTTCTAAGGAAATGAATGTTCGATCTAGACGATGATGATTTAAAATTGCGTAGCTCCAATGGCTTCCTGATATCGGAAGGGAAGAGTGTTCCAGACGGCCGCAGTGCGTGTGTGTTTGTACGTGCATTCGTATTTTAAGGCTACGCGGGAGAGCTTTGTCTTTGTATGTATGCAGGTGTAGGTGTGTGCATAGTTGTGTATAGGTGTGTGAACTATGTGTGTGCGTTTAACTTCTTGCACGCCACCGTATGTCGTAGCCAACCGCACGAATCGGAGGTGCGGGGGGAGAATAACAAACTAAAACACAAAAATAAGTTCTAAAGAAATGAGACGATGATGATGATTTAAAAGTGCACAGCTCCCAGTGGCTCCCTGATATCGGAAGGGAAGAGTGAGAATGAGTGAGTGTGAGTGAGTGAGCGAGTATGAGTGAGTGAGAATGAGTGAGTGTGAGTGAGTGAGCGAGTATGAGTGAGTGTGAGTGAGAATGAGTGAGTGTGAGTGAGTGAGTATGAGTGAGTGTGAGTGAGAATGAGTGAGTGTGAGTGAGTGTGAGTGAGTGTGAGTGAGTGAGTATGAGTGAGTGTGAGTGAGTGTGAGTGAGAATGAGTGAGTGTGAGTGAGTGTGAGTGAGTGTGAGTGAGTATGAGTGAGTGTGAGTGAGTGAGTATGAGTGAGTGTGAGTGAGTGAGCGAGTATGAGTGAGTGTGAGTGAGTGTGAGTGAGTATGAGTGAGTGTGAGTGAGAATGTGTGAGTGTGAGTGAGTGAGCGAGTATGAGTGAGTGTGAGTGAGTATGAGTGAGTGAGCGAGTATGAGTGAGTGAGCGAGTATGAGTGAGTGAGCGAGTACGAGTGAGTTTGAGTAATAATGAGTGAGTGTGAGTGAGTGAGTGTGAGTGAGTGAGAGTGAGTGAGTGAGTGAGTGTGAGTGAGTGTGAGTGAGTGAGTGTGAGTGAGTGAGTGTGAGTGAGTGAGTGAGTATGAGTGAGTGAGAATGAGTGAGTGTGAGTGAGTGAGTGTGAGTGAGTGAGCGAGTATGAGTGAGTGAGAATGAGTGAGTGTGAGTGAGTGAGCGAGTATGAGTGAGTGTGAGTGAGAATGAGTGAGTGTGAGTGAGTGAGTATGAGTGAGTGTGAGTGAGAATGAGTGAGTGTGAGTGAGTGTGAGTGAGTGTGAGTGAGTGTGAGTGAGTGAGTATGAGTGAGTGTGAGTGAGTGAGCGAGTATGAGTGAGTGTGAGTGAGTGTGAGCGAGTATGAGTGAGTGTGAATGTGAGCATGAGTTAGTGAGCGAGCATGAGTGAGTGTGAGTGAGTATGAGTGAGTGTGAGTGAGTGAGCGAGTATGAGTGAGTGTGAGTGAGTATGAGTGAGTGTGAGTTAGTGAGCGAGTATGATTGAGTGTGAGTGAGTATGAGTGAGTGTGAGAATGAGTGAGTGTGAGTGAGTGTGAATGTGAGCATGAGTTAGTGAGCGAGCATGAGTGAGTGTGAGTGAGTGTGAGTGAGTATGAGTGAGTGTGAGTGTGAGCATGAGTTAGTGAGCGAGCATGAGTGAGTGTGAGTGAGTGTGAGTGAGTATGAGTGAGTGTGAGTATGAGTGAGTGTGAGCGAGCATGAGTGAGTGTGAGTGAGTATGAGTGAGTGTGAGTTAGTGAGCGAGTATGAGTGAGTGTGAGTGAGTATGAGTGAGTGTGAGCGAGCATGAGTGAGTGTGAGTGAGTATGAGTGAGTGTGAGTTAGTGAGCGAGTATGAGTGAGTGTGAGTGAGTGTGAGTGAGTATGAGTGAGTGTGAGTGTGAGCATGAGTTAGTGAGCGAGCATGAGTGAGTGTGAGTGAGTGTGAGTGAGTATGAGTGAGTGTGAGTGTGAGCATGAGTTAGTGAGCGAGCATGAGTGAGTGTGAGTGAGTGTGAGTGAGTATGAGTGAGTGTGAGTGAGTATGAGTGAGTGTGAGCGAGCATGAGTGAGTGTGAGTGAGTATGAGTGAGTGTGAGTTAGTGAGCGAGTATGAGTGAGTGTGAATGTGAGCATGAGTTAGTGAGCGAGTATGAGTGAGTGTGACTGAGTGTGAGTGAGTATGAGTGAGTGTGAGTGTGAGCATGAGTTAGTGAGCGAGCATGAGTGAGTGTGAGTGAGTGTGAGTGAGTATGAGTGAGTGTGAGTGTGAGCATGAGTTAGTGAGCGAGCATGAGTGAGTGTGAGTGAGTGTGAGTGAGTATGAGTGAGTGTGAGTGAGTATGAGTGAGTGTGAGCGAGCATGAGTGAGTGTGAGTGAGTATGAGTGAGTGTGAGTTAGTGAGCGAGTATGAGTGAGTGTGAATGTGAGCATGAGTTAGTGAGCGAGTATGAGTGAGTGTGAGTGAGTATGAGTGAGTGTGAGTTAGTGAGCGAGTATGATTGAGTGTGAGTGAGTATGAGTGAGTGTGAGAATGAGTGAGTGTGAGTGAGTATGAGTGTGAGTGAGTATGAGTGAGTGAGTATGAGTGAGTGAGTGTGAATGTGAGTGAGTGAGTGTGAGTGAGTGAGTATGAGTATGAGTGAGTGAGCGAGTATGAGTGAGTGTGAGTAAGTATGAGTGAGTGAGCGAGTATGAGTGAGTGTGAATATGAGTGAGCGAGTATGAGTGAGTGTGAATGTGAGCATGAGTTAGTGAGCGAGCATGAGTGAGTGTGAGTGAGAATGAGTGAGTGTGAGTGAGTGAGTATGAGTGAGTGAGCGAGTATGAGTGAGTGTGAGTGAGAATGAGTGAGTGAGCGAGTATGAGTGAGTGTGAGTGAGAATGAGTGAGTGAGCCAGTATGAGTGAGTGAGTATGAGTGAGTGAGCGAGTATGAGTGAGTGAGCGAGTATGAGTGAGTGAGTGAGTACGAGTGAGTGTGAGTAATAATGAGTGAGTGTGAGTGAGTGAGTGTGAGTGAGAATGAGTGAGTGTGAGTGAGTGAGCGAGTATGAGTGAGTGTGAGTGAGAATGAGTGAGTGTGAGTAAGTATGAGTGAGTGAGCCAGTATGAGTGAGTGCAAGTCTGAGTGAGTGAGTGCGTGCGAGTGCGTGCGAGTGAGTGCGAGTGCGTGCGAGTGAGTGCGAGTGAGTGCGAGTGAGTGCGTGTGTGTGAGTGAGTATAAGTGAGTGAGTGTGAGTGAGTGTGAGTGAGTGCGTGCGTGCGAGTAAGTGAGTGAGTGTGAGTGAGTGAGTGAGTGTGAGTGAATGAGTATGAGTGAGTGTGAGTGAGTGAGTATGAATGAGTGAGTGCGTGTGAGTGCGTGAGCATGGGAATCAATTTGAGTCGGTGAATCTGGCACTGCCCCGTGCCTCACAGTAGACGTAACCAAGCCGGACTCACCAGACTCACCGGGACTCGCTCACTAGACTCACCGGAACTCACCGGGACTCACCGGGACTCACCGGGACTCGCTCACCAGACTCACCGGTGAGGGAGAGTGCTCCCCGCGGCCGCTGGGAGTCGGCGTTGCCGCTGCCGGCGAACGCGGATCCCGGGCGGGCGCGGTGCGGCGGGCTCCACCGTGGCGCCGCCAACACGTCCACCTCCTCGTCATCACCCGGTGGAGCAGGTGGAGCAGGTGGAGCAGGAGGTGGAGCAGGAGGTGGAGCGGGGGGAGGGGCGACTCCGGCAGAGGGGGGCGGCACGGAGGAGGAAGAGCCACGTCCAGCGCTGAGAGAGAAAGAGGGGGGAGAGCGTCACACACACAGAGAGAGAGAGGGGGGAGAGCGTCACACAGAGAGAGAGAGAGGGGAGAGCGTCACACACAGAGAGAGAGAGCGAGAGTGGAGGGAGAGCGTCACACTGCCCGCTGCCACTTACCTTGCGGGTGACGGTTGCTCCATGAGCCGCGCCGCGTTGGGGGTGGCGCCCCCCACGTTCTCACGGAGAGGTCCACGCGGCCCCCGCACCTTCACCGCAGCCGCCGGCCTCACACCGTCACGGCGCTCTGTGTGGTAACAACGGCGGTTGGTGGTGATGGTGGTGGTGTTGGTAGTGGTGGTGGTGGTAGTGGTGCTGGTAGTGGTGGTAGTGCTGGTAGTAGTGGTGGTAGTGGTGGTGGTGGTGCTGGTGATGGTGCTGGTAGTAGTGGTGATGGTAGTCGTGGTGCTGTTGGTGCTGGTAGTGCTGGTGGTGGTGCTGGTAGTAGTGGTGGTGGTGGTGCTGGTAGTAGTGGTGGTGGTGGTGCTGGTGGTGCTGGTGGTGGTGCTGATAGTGGTGGTGGTGCTGGTAGTGGTGCTGGTGCTGGTGGTGCTGATAGTGGTGGTGGTGGTGCTGGTAGTGGTGGTGGTGCTGGTGGTGGTGCTGCTGGTGGTGGTGGTGGTGCTGGTAGTGGTGGTGGTGGTGCTGGTAGTAGTGGTGGTGGTGGTGCTGGTGGTGCTGGTGGTGCTGGTGGTGGTGCTGCTGATAGTGGTGGTGGTGGTGCTGGTAGTGGTGGTGGTGGTGGTGCTGGTGGCAGTGGTGGTGGTGCTGGTAGTGGTGGTGGTGGTGCTGGTAGTGGTGGTGGTGGTGCTGGTAGTGGTGGTGGTGGTGCTGGTAGTGGTGGTGGTGGTGCTAGTCGTGGTGGTGCTGGTGATGGTGGTAGTATTGGTGGTGCTGGTAGTAGTGGTGGTGGTAGTGGTGGTGGTAGTGGTGCTGGTAGTAGCGGTGGTGGTGCTGGTAGTGGTGGTAGTGGTGGTGCTGGTGGTGGTGGTAGTGGTGGTGCTGGTAGTGGTGGTGCTGGTAGTAGTGCTGGTGGTGCTGGTGGTGGTGCTGGTAGTGATGCTGCAGGAGCTGGTGGTGGCGATGGTGGAGCTCACCGCGCCGCGCCGTCTTGCGGGAGGTGGACGTGACGAGCAGTGACCCCTTGCGCCGGGCCACGGGGCTCATGATGGCCGAGCTCGTGCCGAGCGCTGCCACGCGGTTCTCCACCTGCCGCAGCTGCAGCACCGACGTAGCAGCGTCACCATACAGACACCCACCAGCCACCCACCAACCCCCACCAGACACCCACCAACACCCACCCACCATTGACATGGCCTTAGTTGTGTTCGACTTCATTGAGAACGAGTGCGAATCGCTGAAAATCGGTGAGGATTGGCGAGTATCGGGTGAGGATTGGTGAGGATTGGTGAGGATTGGTGAGGATCGGTGAGGACTAGCGAGGGCCGGTGCGGTTAGGTGACGATTGGTGAGAATTATTGCGGATTGGTGAGAATCAGGAGGAACAGTGCAAGGGGCGACACGGTGGCTAAGAGATGTTAACTACCTCGCCTGGTGTGCAGGAGGTCGTGGGTTCGATCCCGACCCTGACGCCTGCTGCTGTATATTTGGAGTTTGCGTGTCTCTCTCATCATCATCACGGTGGCTAGGAGATGTTAACTACCTCGCGTGGTGTGCAGGAGGTCGTGGGTTCGATCCCGACCCTGACACCTGCTGCTGTATATTTGGCGTTTGCGGTGTCTCTCTCCCCGCGGTCGCGCGGATTTTCCCCCCGGGCCCTCTGGTTTTTGTCCCCCACACATTTAGAACCAACGAGCGTTCAGATTGTATGGCTGCTGCTATAAATGTCCACGTGATAAGCCGCTTTCTTGGGCCGTTCTTATTGCTTGCCAGCTCAGTGAGGCACTTACCTGGTAGAAAAAAAAATGGTTTGGTTTAGTTTGGTGCGTTTCAGTGCGGGTCGTCCCACTCACCGAAGCCGGGCGGCTTCGGTCCAAAACGTCTGCCATGGCCTCCGCTGGAAGACACGACAGAGACGCGGATCAACGGGTGACATGGCCTCCCAACGTCCCTCATCTCCAAACTCCAAGATGAAAATGTCACCGACACCTGCGAACCGGACCCACGCTGCCCCGATCCCTCCGCTGGCTCCATCTGATCTCAGATCGCACGCAGCTTGGCCTACATCGTTCACCCCTGCCTGCCTCTCCCCTCACTCTACTCCCCTCCACGCACTCTCCTACCTCTCCCCTCTCACCCCACTCTACTCCCCTCCACGCACTCTCCTGTCTCTCCCCTCTCATCTCACTCCACTCCCCTCCACGCACTCTCCTACCTCTCCCCTCTCATCTCACTCCACTCCCCTCCACGCACTCTCCTACCTCTCCCCTCTCATCTCACTCTACTCCCCTCCACGCACTCTCCTGCCTCTCCCCTCTCATCTCACTCTACTCCCCTCCACGCACTCTCCTGCCTCTCCCTCTCATCTCACTCTACTCCCCTCCACGCACTCTCCTACCTCTCCCCTCTCATCTCACTCTACTCCCCTCCACGCACTCTCCTGCCTCTCCCCTCTCATCTCACTCCACTCCCCTCCACGCACTCTCCTACCTCTCCCCTCTCTCACTCACTCTACTCCCCTCCACGCACTCTCCTCCTCTCCCTCTCATCTCACTCTACTCCCCTCCACACTCTCCTGCCTCTCCCCTCTCATCTCACTCTACTCCCCTCCACGCACTCTCCTGCCTCTCCCTCTCATCTCACTCTACTCCCCTCCACGCACTCTCCTGCCTCTCCCCTCTCATCTCACTCCACTCCCCTCCACGCACTCTCCTACCTCTCCCTCTCATCTCACTCCACTCCCCTCCACGCACTCTCCTGCCTCTCCCTCTCATCTCACTCTACTCCCCTCCACGCACTTTCCTACCCCTCCCCCCCTCTCATCTCACTCTATTCCCCTCCACGCACTCTCCTGCCTCTCCCTCTCACTCACTCACTCCCCTCCACGCACTCTCCTACCTCTCCCCTCTCATCTCACTCTACTCTCCCCTCCACGCACTCTCCTACCTCTCATCTCACTCCCCTCCCCTCCACGCACCTCCTACCTCTCCCCTCTCATCTCACTCTACTCCCCTCCACGCACTCTCCTGCCTCTCCCTCTCATCTCACTCCCCTCCCTCCACGCACTCTCCTGCCTCTCCCCTCTCATCTCACTCCACTCCCCTCCACGCTCTCCTCCTCTCCCTCTCATCTCACTCCACTCCCCTCCACGCACTCTCCTACCTCTCCCCTCTCATCTCACTCTACCCCCCTCCACGCACTCTCCTACCTCTCACGTCTCATCTCACTCTACCCCCCTCCACGCACTCTCCTACCTCTCCCCTCATCTCACTCTACTCCCATCCACGCACTCTCCTACCTCTCCCTCTCATCTCACTCTACTCCCCCCACACTCTCCTACCTCTCCCCTCTCATCTCACTCCTCCCCTCCACGCACTCTCCTGCTCTCCCCTCTCATCTCACTCCACTCCCCTCCACGCACTCTCCTACCCCCCTCTCATCTCACTCTACTCCCCTCCACGCACTCTCCTACCTCTCCCTCTCTCTCATCTCACTCTACTCCCTCCACGCTCCTACCTCTCCCCTCTCATCTCACTCTACTCCCCTCCACGCACTCTCCTGCCTCTCCCTCTCATCTCACTCTACTCCCCTCCACGCACTCTCCTACCTCTCCCTCTCATCTCACTCCTCCCCTCCACGCACTCTCCTGCCTCTCCCTCTCATCTCACTCCACTCCCCTCCACGCACTCTCCTACCTCTCCCCTCTCATCTCACTCCACGCCCTCCACGCACTCTCCTACCTCTCCCCTCTCATCTCACTCTACTCCCTCCACGCACTCTCCTACCTCTCCCCTCTCATCTCACTCTACTCCCCTCCACGCACTCTCCTGCCTCTCCCCTCTCATCTCACTCTACTCCCCTCCACGCACTCTCCTACCTCTCCCCTCTCATCTCACTCCACTCCCCTCCACGCTCTCCTCTCTCCCCCTCATCTCACTCACTCCCTCCCTCCACGCACTCTCCTATCTCCCCCTCATCTCACTCTACTCCCCTCCACGCACTCTCCTACCTCTCCCTCTCATCTCACTCTACTCCCCTCCACGCACTCTCCTACCTCTCCCCTCTCATCTCACCTCTCCCCCCTCCACGCACCTCCCTGCCTCTCCCCTCTCATCTCACTCTACTCCCCTCCAC